GCTCCGCCTCGGAGCCCCCCAAAGCCTCGGAGCCCCCCAAAGCCGAGCCCGGGGCCGCTCGGGGCCCCACCCGCTGGGGCATCTGCTCGGCCGGGGCCATCAGCCACGACTTCGTGGTGGCCCTGAAGACCCTGCCCCCCACGGAGCACACGGTGACACCTCTGGGGAGGGWGGGGACCCCCCCCAGTCTCTGGGAACCCCCAAAACCTGCGGATATCCCCAAAAACCTGGGCGTGTCTCCCGTGTCGCTTAATCCCACTGCCTGGGCAGACCTCATGTCCCAAATATTGGCACTTTTATTTGTTTTTTCCCCTCGTTCCCTAAATCCGGGGCAGGTTTGGGGCTTCCCAGGGATTTTGGTGTCGCCGCGACGCCTCGGTGTCCCCTCCGCAGGTYGTGGCCGTGGCTGCCCGGGACTTGGGGCGCGCCCAGGGCTTTGCCCGGCGTTTTGGGGTGCCCCGAGCCTACGGATCCTACGAGGAGCTGGCTGAGGATCCCGACGTGGGTGAGACCCTGCAGGGATTCGGGGGAGCCGAAAGGGATTCGGGGGGTCCTGCAGGGGTTTAGGGTGATCTGAGGGAGTTCTGGGGGGATTTCGGGGTATTTTTGGGAACTTTCTGGGTGTCTTTGGTGCTCCCTGATGTGGGGGCAGGTGTTTTTTGGGATTTCTGATGGGTTTTATTCTGGGATTGGTTTCTTTTGGAGTGTACCTYTCAGACGTGGTGTACGCAGGGATGCTGAGCCCAGGGGCTTTTCGGGGGTGATGATTTTTACGGGGTTTTGGGGGTCTTTTGTGGTTTTTTTTGGGGGGTATTTGGGGTCGGGGTTTTTTTGAGTGCCCTGACGGGTTCCTGGGGTGTCCCCTCGCAGATGTGGTGTACGTGGGTGTGGTGAACCCCTCCCATCTGCCCACGGGGCTGCTGTTCCTGCGCCGGGGCCGGGCCGTGCTCATGGAGAAGCCGATGGCGCTCGGGGCCTGCGAGGTGGCCGAGCTGGTGGCCACCGCCCGGGAGCGCGGGGTCTTCCTCATGGAGGTGCGGCCCCGTCCCGGGATCCCGTTCCCGGTGACCCCGCTGATCCCGGGGTTTCCATTCCCGCTGATCCCGCTGATCCCGGGGATTCCATTCCCGGTGATCCCAGGGTTTCCATTCCCGCTGATCCCAGGGTTTCCATTCCCGGTGATCCCGGGGTTTCCATTCCCGCTGATCCCGGGGTTTCCATTCCCGCTGATCCCGGGGTTTCCATTCCCGGTGATCCCAGGGTTTCCATTCCCGGTGATCCCGGGGTTTCCATTCCCGGTGACCCCGGGGTTTCCATTCCCGGTGATCCCGGGGTTTCCATTCCCGGTGACCCC